AGTTGGCCAATTAATTCGTTCTAGTTTAGTACGAGACAGTCGGGTCTTGCTCTTGCTCCAGGCTGGTTTGAACTCGCTGATTTGAGCGGAGATCCGTCAGTGCTCGGCCCCGAGTGCTAGGATTACAGTCGGGAGCACCCTGGCCCAGCGCCTGGCAAACAGGTATCAAAGTGCTTTGTAAAGTAAATAAGAATAAGGATAAAACGCTGGGCTGTTAAGGTTCACGAGGCTTGGGTAAAGTATCAGCAGGTTGGTTGTCAGGCAGGAGAGCAAAGACACAGCTGGTTTTCGTGGGATTCTGAGCTCTTGTGGAGAGGAAAGAAAGGAGATTGTAACCGAAGCGGTAGCATTTGGCGGAGTCTCTGGTGTCCCGCTGGATGCGAAAGCCTGGTGAGCCTGGAGTGCTTATTCGGTCTGTTTTGTCCCTTACCGTGTGGCAGTCGACGCCCTTTGTCTAAATTTCGTCTGGCGCTTTATGTTTAGGCGCTCACTCTAGAAAAATAGTCCGCCAGCAGGAATTCATGAGGCACCAAAATATATAGAAAAAATTAGCCGGGCATGGTGGCGCATGCCTGTAGTCCCAGCTACTCGGGAGGCTGAGGCAGGAGGATCACTTGAGTCCAGGAGTTTGAGGTTGCTGTGAGCTAGGCTGACGCCACAGCACTCTAGCCCAGGCAACAGAGTGAGACTCTGTCTCAAAAAAAACAAAAAACAAAACCCTGTTTGCCCATGACACATATGCAGAGAAGTCAGGGAAATGTAACACATCCACTGCGCTTTTCCCGCGGCAGCCACATGGCCACGTGTGGCTGTGCAAAAGATTTCAGTGGCTCCTGTGTTTGGAGGATGTAGATAAAGAATATGTCCATCATTGTAGAGAGTTCTGTTAGACAGCACTGCTCTGGAAGATTCTCCTGTCACATTACTCTGTCTTTCAGGCCAAGACATCAAATCAGATGGCTTCAGCATCGAGACCTGCAAGATCATGGTTGACATGCTGGACGTATCCTTCCTCGTGCTCCAAGGAGCAGTGCGTGGGGGCTTTCAGATCTCGCTTGGAAAGATGCAGACACGTTGCCCTCTCCCCCCTGGGAATGGCCAGCTGCGCCAGCTTGCCACGTTGCCGGACTGTTGGTGCGCTGACCTCCCTCACTAGGGAAACAGAGTCCCCGGAGGAAGGGAAAGCAAAACACCAAGTCCCCCATCCACCCCCATAGGCAGGTGCAGGTCTGCCCAGAGCAGCTCGAACTTGTTTCCTGAGTGACAGTGTTTCCACTGCTTCCCAGGAAAGTATTCCCTAAACCATAATATTTCTGATGTGAATCTGTTTTGTCTGGTCAAGATTTTCTCCTCAATTTGTAGATAAGGGCCACCTCTGTGAGCTTTCTTCCTTCGCTTGGCCCTAACTCCTTCCTGTGCCATCCACCTGTCCCCAAAGCAAACTAGTCCTCCGTTTCCCCCCTTGTTTATGATGCTTAATGAGAAAAGATGGCAAGGAGAGTCCAGGCTTGTGTGAGGTTTCACCTGTCGGACTCGTGCGTGCACCACCCTTCGCAAAGGCCTCTGAGAAATACTGCAAACTCTTCAAAAAACAGTGAGGGCTCAGCCATTAGAAGCTGCCTGAAGCCCTCTGCACATCATCTCATAGCTCATTTTTAGCAGGATCTGGGGTGCCCACAGCACCCCCAGATCAAAACAGCAACCAGAGTCAGCAGGGAACCAGGTCTCCATCTCAGCCTTCATCCCACCCGTCCTCCTACCCAGAGGCTTGGCCAGTGGGAAAAGCAGCCAAAGGGTCCTGCAGACGCTCGTGCCGGATCATCAGATGGTCCAGCAGGCAGCACAGACAGGGGATGCCATGCCCAGATGAACCCAGGCTCCAGGGCTTTCCTTGACTGCTGGCAGTCAGATGGCAGCGGCAAGCTGGGGCTGAGGGAGTTCTACATTCTCTGGACGAAGATTCAAAAGTACCAAGTAAGATCCCAGGAGGCCCAAGGAGGGGGCCGGGGGACAATCTGCGCATACGCTCCACGACGCAGCAACCCTGCAGAAGGGGGAACATTTCCACGGGGAGTGGGATTTGCCCCGAGTGGAGCTCAGGAGGAGGAAAGACAAGGCTGGGCAAGTGCAAGCACAAAAACAGGAATAAGGACTTGCCAGTTAAGTGGTCCGTTCCCTTCACGTGACTATTGGGATCACCAAAAGGCCACAGTCAGGGCTTTCTTGGAAGGTTGTGTGGCCCTTGGTAGTTTGGGTTTTTGACAGCTCAAATACAAAAATGATGTAAGATGAGAACATGGGCCTGTGGTAGTTGACTAATTTGCTTGATGGGCATATTTACAAACCAGCTCACAGAAAAGGCAAAATATTATTAGCTATTTAAGGCAGAAACATGGGAGATTCTTCCAAGGCCCAACTAGAGGCATGGAGGTGGAAAAACTTCATCCCAACCCAACACATGCCACAGAGGTAACTTGCTACCTGTTTTGCTTTGGCTCATGGTTCTTATAACTATTTTGCATGTTTCAGAAAATTTACCGGGAAATCGACGTAGACAGGTCTGGTACCATGAATTCCTATGAAATGCGGAGAGCGTTAGAAGCAGCAGGTAACCCTTTGTAACTGTTTTCTTTCCTGTGTTTTATCTATCTGTAGCACATGGGACCACTTAATCTATACCATACAATGCAGAATTTGGTGAGCTGGAAAGCAGATGCTGGGTTAATACAAACACACCCTTTCATTTCCCTGTCAAAGACTGAGTGGTAAAATGCCATGCAGTCCAGGGTGCTCTGCCTTCTGTGCCCTCCTGATTCCACGTTTCCTTCGGAGCAGCCCAGCAGGGCAAGCTGGCAAGCCAGTCCTCGACAGACCCCCACGCCCCTCCTTTCTGGTGCGGGGTGGGTTAGGCAGAAGTGGAACATCTCAGCTCAACCCTGGCAGAATTAGCTGTCGATAAAAAGGACATGAGGCCAGGTGTGCTTCGGGAACCAACATGACAACATGAGGCTGTTCATTCTCTTAGCTGGATATAACGCAGCAGCCGAGACCCCAAATAACAGCAGTTCAATGAGGCATGTCTTTGCCCCACGCGGCGGCCCAGGCTCCGGCAGCCCGGGGCTGGGATGCCGCTTCCTACCATTGTTAGGGACCGACCTTCCACAGCCCCACCGGACAGAAAAGCAGAGACATCGAGGATGTAATTACACAAGAGGAGGTTTATTTTCTGGCTAGCCAGGGCCCAAGCCCCAGAGCACCAACGCAGTGGCCACTCTCGCAGGCAAGGACCCCGACCGGGGTTGCAGCGTGCCTTTTATCCCTATGGTGCATAAGCTATGCAGTGGCTGATCACGCGTGGATCATGCATTGACCTTTAACATGATTGGTTGGCTGGTAGCCCCACTATACAGGGGTTCAAACAATGCAAAGTTGGCGCAAACAAGCAAGCAAGCAACGGTTTCCATGGCAAGCAAGCAACGGTTTCCAGAAGCCGGATGTTAGTTCCGGCTTCACTGGGGGTGTGGGCCTTGCAGGTATGCAATGTCTTGACCCCTCACACCATGAGGGCCCAGGCTCCTTGCATGTGGCTTCACCAGCCCTTAGAGGGGCCTGGGACAGCTTGCCACCCACCACATGCGGCCACAGGCTGACAGGAGAGCTCCTTGCCTTTAAGGGTTCACATGTCACTTCTACTCACACGTCTCATTGGCCAGACCTTGATCCCGAGGCCCTGGATGGCAGCGAGGGAAGCTGGGAGTGCAGGCTTGAGGCAGCATGGGCCCCCAAACACCACCCTACTGTGGGAAGGGGAGAATTAACACAGTTGACCAGGAACAGCTTCTGCCACATATATCCAGGGAGACACCGGTCTCCAAGACGACCCAGAGCTAAACAGAGGAGGCGTGGTTAACAGAGGACCACAGAAACAGGGACAGACAACAAAGTCCCATGTGTGAGTCAGCAAGGAACAGGCAGGGTGGAGGTGAACAGTTTGGAAACTGAACAAACAGCAGAAGGTACCAGCTTCGCAAAATAAAACCAGTCTCATAGAAAAGTGGCGACAGCACACAAGCAATTATAACTGTAACTTAAATCGCCATGTTAGGGCCGTGGCCCCTGAAGAGCTGAGCGGTGCATCCAATACTTAGCGACCACTCTGTTCACTTAACTCCAGGTTTCAAGCTGCCCTGTCAGCTCCACCAGGTCATCGTTGCTCGGTTTGCAGATGAGCAGCTCATCATCGACTTCGACAATTTTGTTCGGTGTTTGGTTCGGCTGGAAACGCTGTTCAGTGAGTGGGTGTCTGGGGAGGGTCCGCTTCAGCTCTCTTGGTGTCAGAGGGCCTGCCTTCCACCTCGGGCAGCGTCGCCTGGCCCCGAGACAGCTCCCGCCAGGAGCTGAGGATGAAAATCCCTCTTTAGTATTAGTACTTTTGAGGAGGCAGGGAAGAAAGAGCCGTGGCATTCAACGAAAGCAGCTGCCAAATTAGAGAACAGGATAAGGTGATGGCTATTTCAGCTCAACTCACTCAACACCCTCTTCGCTCCCTCCACAGAGATATTTCAGCAGCTGGATCCGGAGAACACCGGGACGATAGAGCTCAACCTCGTCTCCGTGAGTCAGCGGCTCCCGCCCACTGCGGGGTGGGGAAAGACTGTGACTTGGGTGACCTGCTTTTTAGTGTTTTGCTTTAAAAATCTTTCGGTCCATCTGGGACAGGCCTGTAAATGGTCGTAAGATCCCACATTGCACTCATACTTGCATTTGTTTCCCAACTACCTAATGATTGTCAAATCCAAAAAAACACACCTGGCCCCCTGTTCCCCATGAGCCTTGACTTGAGTATATGAAGGTTAAACTAAGAAGAGGGTGAGATCTGTCATTCTCAGATCTGCTTCAAATGCTTTCTGAACAAATCACTTTTCTTTACTTCCTCTCCCTTTAAAATTAACAAGAGTAAATAAGTTTGCCATTTCTAATTATTGTGCTCATGTGTCTAGAACCCCAGCAATGCCCAATTCTGAAATGATCTTCAATCCGAATTAAGTCGATATACCAATTTCATAAAGAGCAAAGCACAAAATGTTCTCTTGTCATCCCAATGACAGAAAGTTCTCTCACTGAAAGAAAGAAGCCAGGTGGGACCACGTTGAGTAGCCCCTGGCCCCAGTCTACACTTCCCCTGTACTCGGGAAGGTGACGGGGCTGGTGAGGTGGCCGTGCTGGGTGGGGATGGCAAAGGTGTCAGTCCTGTTTGCACGTAACAGAGGAGCAGAGTGGAGAGGACAGATCCAGGGTACTGCAACTCTTTTCCTTGAATTTTGAACTCTGGAGGAAGCCGGAAGCTAAATATTAATAACTGTCTCCCTCTGCTATTATGCATCATAAGTACCTTTAGCCAACTGGAAATATAGCTCATCCGGATACAAATAGCACTAACTTGCTTACAACCCTAACACATGTAGCTTAGGAAATGTCCCTACCCTGAGATTGCACTCTGAGAGGTCAGTGCAGTTGTGACCTGGAACGCACAGCACGTTAATTCCTAGAAAGGCAAGGCTTTTCATCATCTTGCTCCGCCCCGGTCCCCAGGGCCCACCCGGCCCGCCCAGCCCCCTCCCTCGCCATCTCCTCTGAAAGCAGCTTGTCCTCTGGCTGCCCCCCCCCCCAGCCTCCCCTCTCACAGGTCCCAGAGCTCCTCGCCTCTAGCAGCCTTTGCTAAGAGTGACCAGAGTCCAGAAAACCTCCCCTTCGGTCTGTAGTGAGTTTCCACCTTGGCTCCACGTCACACTGTGGGAGCTTCGCAAACGTTCTGATGTCCAGGCCTGTTCAGTCAAGCCAATTTAAAGTCCCCATATCACTCGGATATAGAATGAAGGCTGAAAACCATGGGTTTCGGCAACAGCCACAGCCCAAACTAACTGCGGCAGAGATGGGAAAATGCTGATTTATATGTTGTTTGAATTTCGCTTTTCATGTATGCTGTCAACTCTATGATATGATTCATGACTACCTGATTCAAATAACAGAGACTACTGACCTATAAAAAGTGAGACACTAGAAATTACTCAGAAAAAAATCTAAGTTAGTGTACTAGTATCTTAGCCCTTGATCAGCTTTTCTGGTACAACAGTTTTTCAGAATAATCTACAGGGACTCAAATAGCCTTTCATTTTAAAAATGGTCACTGAGCTGACTTCTTTTTCTTTCTTCCTCACAGTGGCTCTGTTTTTCAGTACTTTGAAGTTATAACTAATCTGCTTGAAGATGTCTCATGACAGAAAATCTGCCAAGGACTAAGCTTCCACAGACAAACACCTTGTATCTGGACCTCGAAATTATGGGAACGGTTACTTAAACTATTGATTATAGCAGAAAATAATGATACTATTTGAGCTAGAACTTTCACATATCAAAGTAAAGGATTTGCATATTATTATACTAAATGCACGTGAGTTGCTTAACCCTTGATAAGCTCAAAAAAGCTTTAAATATGTAAATAGTATATACTTTTTACTTTTCCACACTTTCCTGTTTATAGCAATATTAAATTAGGAAAAAATGCAGGGAGATATTTAACAACTGAGTAAACATTAAGCCAATCGCAATGGACATAAAGCCCTTGCTGGGAATATTTAAAGCAACTTCGAGTTTAAAAATGCAATCGTTGCATCTACCAGACAGCAGCCTGGGATTACCATTTCCAACACACTGGGGAACGTAAACATCATGAAGTGATCTTGCCAAGGCATCTAAAGAATCCAGGTGAGCAAGCATCCCTCTGTCATTACAAGAGACCAGCTTTATATAACACTGATTGGCAATAGCAAATCATTCTTCTTAAACTCAAATCTTTGAGCGTATCTGGCCTTCTGCATTTAGTCTTATAAATGCTAGAGGGATTCTACTCTTGATCAACTGAAGCAGCATACTAAAACCAGGAGTCCAATTTGCAAACCAGTTATGATAAAGGACAAAGCAAGCTGTTTGCCACCTCAAAACTTTATGAACGTCACCACCATCAGTGTCCGTCCATGGAGTTAGAGGAGACATCGCTTAGGAATTCTTGTGGAAATGACACAAGCTTATTACCTGGCTTTACTTTGGGAAAATGCTAGCAACATTATAAAAGTATTGCCTTGTTGCCTTATCTTCTTCCAAATGTACTGTTAAATAAAGGGGTGCCCCATGCAATCACAGCGTGCCATGTTTTCCTTCTTGGAGGGTGGCCCCAGCAGGCCGGTTCGGGAGTACACACAGAGGAAAAGGCATCTTACCTGTAATTAAAATGTGCAACTATGAAATGTTTTAAAAATCCAATTGAGGCTGGGCGTGGTGGCTCACGCTTGTAATCCTAGCACTCTGGGAGGCCGAGGCGGGCGGATTGCTCAAGGTCAGGAGTTCAAAACCAGCCTGAGCAAGACCGCCGTAATCTCTCTGAATTGCAGCCTTAGGCCTATCGGTTAGGCCACCAGGGTTCCTCTGTCATACCTTCGGTTACTCATTTCACAGCTCCCCTCTCTCCTTCCTCCGGGCCAAGCTTCCCACACACAAGATGCCCATTCCAGCTGCAGTCGGGCTAATCGCCCACAGCTCTTCTTAAACTGCTGCTTGTTGCGATCACCAGTGACGAGTGCGGAATCCTACGAACACATGGCAGCCGTCGCCTCCCAGACCTTCTGCCACCTTCACCACCACTCTCGAGCATCCACATGCCCTGGTTTCCTCCGTCTGCTTCTCTTGTGAACTCTGATTCCTTTCAGGTGACGCTCCCACCTCCCTAGCTAAATTCCTCAGTGGCTCCACTGCTCCAGACTCTGAGCACAGCCGAAGCTAAACTCCCCCTTTCAGTCCAGTCCAGTCTCCAACTGCTTCATTATTTTTTTTTTTTTTTTTTGAGACAGAGTCTCTTTTGTTGCCCAGGCTAGAGTGAGTGCGTGGCGTCAGCCTAGCTCACAGCAACCTCACACTCCTGGGCTCAAGCAATCCTCCTGCCTCAGCCTCC